ATGGTTGCACTTTCAATGAGGTAACCGTCTGGGATGAGAAGAGGGTTAAAAAGATCAACAAAGAAACTTTTTGTTATATATGGATGATTTCATTAAGGAAAAAAGGTATAAAATACAACTAGGTGGTAATTGTTACTCCTAAAAATAAGCTAAATTATGTTAGGATCAAGGATCACAATAATGTACCAATTTTCTAAATATATGTATCATAATTACAGACAAAAGGTAATGGTGGAAACAATCTCTAACACTTCCCTCAAGTTGGAGAGTGTATATTATACTACACACCTAATTTAGGAATCATATAGATGAATATATCCTTTCCCAAAGCCTTGGTCATGATTTTCAAGCTGGTTTATGGAGCTTACGAACTTGGTCTCCACAAAACCTTCTTGAATTTGATCTCTGATGTAGTGACAATCCATTTTCATATGTGGTGTTCATTCATGAAAAACTGGATTAGCAGTTATATGTAATGTTGTTTTATTGTTGTAGTGTAATAACAATGTTTGTAATTATTGAAGTCTTTTGTAAGTTCCTTAAATGCCATACATGGCGCATTGGTAACTCTAATGAAGTGACAACAACCTCAATACGTCTTGATTAACCATCCACTTTAGTGTTTTGATTCACTATCACCAACAACTCCAAAGGTACTGGTGTCTATGTGTGTTTACCCACCTGTAAGTGTATGTGTGTACACGATGGTGATGATAAATGAAGATGGGAGGTGAAGGTGGAGTGAACTTGGGGGGTGATTACGGAGATGAGAGAGAGAAAGTTGAGAGATAGAAAGCAAAGAGAGGTGGTAATTGACCAAGGACTATGTGAGGGCGAATCATCTGGCTACATATATATTCAACAGTGTCTGAAACAGCCAAGAACGGTATGTGTATTTGGCTCCAACAACTCACATCCGGTGTTAGCCCGAAAGGACCTGGTCATTAGTTGTGATTAAACAAATCATTGCTTTGTCGTTGGTCAAAAAATAAAATGACACATTTGTTAGCTATTTTTTTGGTTTAATTTTTCATTTATGTATGTGTATAAACTAAACCAATGAAACATCTTTTTTTAAGAAAAACTTCATCCTATTCACATTCGATTTTTTTTAAAAGGACATTCCATATGTTTAGTTTTTGGCATTACAAAGTAAGCCATGAAATTTACAATGAACTCGATAAACGAATGATTTTTTATGAATATTTTTATTCGTGAAATAGTGTTCATTTGTAAACATATTCAATTTATGATATTATAATTTTTAGTAAATATATTTGATTAAATTTACAATGTTTAAATGACAAAAATATTAAAATTAAAAGTACAATGTCGTAATAAAAATTGATGATGTTATAATAAAGTAATTTTGAAAATACAATGCTATAATAAGAAATGTTATGTCAGCACTAACATACAAGTAGACAGCCTACATAGACAATGAGGTGGCAAATAAACCTGATATAATGGGTAAATTTAATTTAAAAGGTTGCTTAATGCTATAACGGGTAAAAAATTTAAAGTACGATGTCCTGATAAAAAAGTATTTTTAAAGTACATTGTTGTAATAAGAAAAACTGAAGTTTAATGCTATAATAAGAAAATTTGTAAAAGTAGGTTGCTATTTCGTGCATTTTGCTCTTTTCTAAAATAGAAAAACAAGATAAAAGTCTAAACCTAATGGAGGAGCGAAATTTTTTATCCATTCTCACTAATGAGATTGAATTATTAGTATTATATATATATATATATATATATATATATATATATATATATAGGAGAGCGATCAAATGAAAATCACTCGAATTGTAAAAACCGTAAAAACCTCATTCCACCAATCATAATTTTTCATTTTGTTTATATTTTTTGTAATTATAAGAGGTTGATTAATCATTTTTATTGTGTAGGATGTTAATCATGGATATTATCATCTTCATTATTTTAATTTTAGAGAAATACATGAAACAGTTTCATTAAAATTTCATTAAGTAGTATATAAAACAATTTCATAACCATATATGAAACAACTTCATCAAAAAAAAGTATTATATGAAACAATTTACACGATTAAACAGTTTCATGAAAAAATTTCATAAGATTACGACGGATGATCAAAGTAGTTTTTACGGTTTTTACAAATTGGAGTGGTTTTTATTTGATCGTTCCTCTCTCTCTCTCTCTGTATATATATATATATATATATATATATATATATAGTATTATAGAGGCCTGATCAAATGAGAACTATTTAGTTTGTGATAACCGTGAGATCCAACATGGACCAATCATTCAGGATAAATAATATGATTTCTTAAAATAAATATGAGGGTAAATTAGTAAATATGATTTCTTAGTAAATTAATATGATTTCAAGTTACTTTAATTAGTTTAAAATTCCAATTTTGCATTTAAATCTTCTCTCTCTATCTCTCTCTCTCTCTATCTTTATCTCACTCTCAAACCCCCAAATTCCTTTATCTCTCTATCTTCCCATTAGATCCGATTCAAACCCAATCCAAAAACCACCCTCATCATCGCCAAATCCAACGACAGCGACTCCATCGACGGCCCTGACCGCTTAACCTCCATAAACAGAGATGTGTGTGTGTGTGTGTGTGTGTGTGTGTCTTTGCGAAAGAGGGCGACATACAATCAAAGATTGAACGAGGGGAACGATCTAGATGAGGTCATTGAAGAGAAGACGGTCGACATTGCCGGCAGCAGTAGTGGCAGTGGAGCTGGAAAAAGCGGAAAGATTACGGCGGTGAGAAGGGCGGAGATTTTCGCCGGAAAGCCATGAATTTGGTTCTCCACCACCAAAACCCAAAGTAACATTATCATGCTCCAAATCAAAGTGTTGCGATGATTGATGATACATTCCAGGATCTTTGTTTTCACAAAATCAACTGAAATTAGGGCTACAAAATGGGAATCGGATCAAGGAAACTATTTCAAGAAATTGAAACCAAAAGTGAAATTGAAACAGTGGTAATATAGTGTAATAAAGTTTAGTATCACAGTGGTAATATAGTTGGTGTGAGTGGTATCACAGTGGTATCCCAAATGATAATATATTTGGTATCACAGTGCATCTTGTATATATTTTTGGTATCACAACGTGGATTGTCTGTATGTATCTCTTAAATTTATATTATGTTTTTAAGGTTTGGGTTGGTATCATAGTTGGTATCACAGTGATATCATAATGGGTATCACATTGTGTATCTTGGTACCGGTCGAAATAATGTTCACCGGAGACCGGAGGTCGGAGAGAGTAGTTTCTAAAAATACCTAGAATGCCCTCTAATGATAATTTTGACTCAAATTACCAAAATTGTTAGTTTTCTGATTTATCCGCTGATATGTGGTTGAGATTGGATCTCACAGTTAACACAAACTAATCAGTTATCCCTTGAATGGACCCCTAGTATTATATATATATATATATATATATATATATATAGGGGAGCGTTCAAATAAAAACCACTCAATTTGTAAAAACCGTGAAAACCTTATTCAACCAATCATAATTCTTCATTTTGTTTATTTTTTTGTAATTATGAGAGGTTGATTAACCATTTTTATTGTGGAGAGTGTTAATCATGGATATTATCATCTTCATTATTTTAATTTTAGAGAAATACCTGAAACTGTTTCATTAAAATGTCATTAAGTAGTATATGAAACAATTTCATAACCATATATGAAACAACTTCATAACCATATATGAAACAACTTCATCAAAAAGAGTATTATATGAAACAATTTCATAAGATTAAACAATTTCATGAAAAAATTTCATAAGATTACGACGGATGAGAGTAGTTTTTACGGTTTTTTACAAATTGGAGTGGTTTTCATTTGATCGCTCATTTATATATATATATAGGGTTGGGTTCACGTGAGACCAATGGTTTTTCGTAAGACCCGTAAGACCAATTTATGTTCATTGATCAACTTTATAAATTAATGATCTAATGGTCTAAAGTTGCATGGTGACAATTTTGTGATTATTGAGAAGTCTTGTGGCGTTTATTAATGTTCAGATTGTCAGATTATATATCTAATTTATGCATTCCTCCTCCCTAGCTGCTGCTACAATTTATGCATTCCTCTTACTGAACAACTGCAGCATCACATGGCTAGGGAAGCAGCTTAGGCCGTGGCCTCTTCCTTCCTCTCCATTTGATCTCCATTTTTTACCAAGGGTCTGTTTACCAAATGTTTACTTGGGTAAGCGTTTACCAAGTTATATTATTTTACTGGATGAATATGATAAGGACCAAAAATCTTACCTGGTAAGAGCGAGGCAAGGACCGAGAGTCTTAACCCGTAGGTGGTGGCAATAACTCTTACCACACTCAGCTCTTACCAGGTAAATTGTTGCATAGAAACCCGTTTTTGTTGACTAAAATCTTACCCGGTAGATAAATAATAGTATTGAATTTAGCCGATAAATGCTTACCTGGTAAGTGCTCGGTGAACGACCCTAATTAACTGATGTGTAAACTTCACTAGAAACCCCTAAAGTTTATTCCCTACCTTCATAAACTCACACTGGAATTAATTTCAGATTTTCACATTCCTAATCCAAATCATTATTTCAACTACAGATTCGATCCTCCTCGTTAGCCATTCTCGAACTTGCCAAGCTTTAAAGCTCAACCGATTCAGGGATAGAAATCAAGAATGGCTCCAAGATTTTAATTCTACAGACTCAAATCAAATTTAGCTGACAAAATATAAACCAAGTGAAAGGAATTGAATATATTAAGTGATTTAAGTCATAGTGCATGAACAACACAAGTATGTCACCTCTATCACTACAATCCCTACCCTAGCAGGACTTCAACCTAAACCTAAACCTAAACCTAAACCTAAACCATCCTCTAGGATGTTTATAAGAATGTTTACCTCCCAAATCCCAAATACAACAATCCAACCAGTCGTTCAGTCTCAAGTAATCTGTCTTCCTTAAATGCCATAAATGATCTATTAATTCATCTCTCTGGTGAAGTGACAACAACCTCAACACGTCTTGATTCACCATTACCGCTTTGCACACTCGAGTGTTTTGATTCACTATCGCCAGTAACTCCAAAGATACTTGAGCGTTCGGAATCACCAGCGATGGCACCATTGTCGGTTCCTATGCTCGACTCTCTTACCGGACACAACTGAGCCACCTTCTTCACTTCTTTGCCTTTGCCCCATAATACAAGGTAGAGTCCCAAGATTATCAATATTGCACCTAACACACTGCAAAAATAATCAACCACTTTTCGAATCCTTACAATATAACATGAAATCTTTAAACTCCATGGAATAAAAAGAAGAATTAACGTACCTTCCCAAGTGTAGGGTTTCATTCAAGACTAAAGATCCAGCGATAGCCACAAGAACAAGCATAAGAGGATTGAAAGCTGATACAAATAACGGACCTCTCATTTGCACACACCATGCAATAAACGTAAACATCAATCCGGATGCCAACATGCCCTAAAGAATTTCGTAATGACACATTACTATACGAGCAACAAAAACCAGGTACTTATAGAGCCGACAGTATTAATCGGGTCATAAACATAAGTGATTAGCGAGATGCAATTTAGCGTCACTAGAGAACCATACTTATATGCTATATGTGTGAGATTAGTGCGATGAAAAGTGTTGAAAATACACACCGAATAAGCCACGGTTAGAAGTCTAACGTTCCAACCCAGCTTCCATTCACTCCAATGTCTTTCGGTACATAGCACAAACACGACTGCTTGAACCGCACCCATGGTCGATGTTAGAGCCGTGACCGAATAAGGGCAAGGGTATTTTTCAACCATATTTGTCTGTTCAAGAAACAAAATACACGAAAAAGTTATATCTTCTTTACTTCAGGTATTTGTAAACAACCATTTCTAATAAAACAAAATAGTCATTTGCAAACCAAATAGTCGAGGCTCCGATATATACAAAGGTTTAATAAACTGTATCTAACTGATATAAGACTCTACACATCAGATACATATTTAATGGTTTGATGAACCGTGTTTGACCGACATAGGACTCTAAACAACGAATACGAATTTGGTCACCTGAATAATCAACCAGATGGAGTAACTGATGCAACTACCAATAGCCAATAAAGAACCCAAGACCATATTATTGCTTGAGTTTTGACCACCTGTTTCATGATGTTGACCATGCAATAGGTCAACATTGGTCTCCCACAAATGTAGGTCAGCTCCCTTGTAAAGAGTCAACAACATGGCACCACCAACCCCTATCACAGTCCCCATAATCTTTGCTGCACCAGGAGTTGTTTTCCAACCCAACCTTTCCATCCTGAAAATGACACCCTATTAACTATCAAGAATATATAAGCTATAAATGGTTGAATTGGGTTTGGTGTTTTGTTGGGGGTATGGTTAAGTTATGTGTTTTTTAAATGTTTTTTGGATTTCCTTTTGCTCAGTATTATAAAAATATTGAGGTACAAATGCAGTGACTCCGGACTATCTGCAAAGCAGGTGGTCTCCTTGGGATTAATCGACTCGCAAAGCGAGTTAGATATCCAGTTAATAGCATGCATAACCAACATATTAGATTACAAATATGGTATTTTAGAACACTTAACCGTATTTGGGTCCCATTAACCGTATATTTAATGGGACAATTTACTTGGGTTCTAGGTCGTCCGGCTTTGTAAACAGACATTACCAACTCAACATCTAATTTCATTATAACAACTTATTATAATGTCTTTAGATAAGACGTCTGTTTTTTCACTTTATTAAATATTCTATTAGGACATGTGTGCCTAAAATACCCATTTTTTCCTGGTGTAGATCACAATTGACCATACATTATAGAAAATGTAAACACTTTGGTATACTATTTCATGATACAAATTATTAACCAGTATTTCTTACCTAAAGCAAACCGCTAGAACAAACGTAATCACAGGCATTAGATTGGTAGTCGATGCAGCGAACGTGGCTGACGTCAACGATAAAGCTTTTATGTAGAAATTTTGTGCTAACGAACCGCTGCAAAATCAAACTTCGCATACTTGGCAACGAGATTAACAAAGATCATGAAAACCAGATAACCTACACGAAAACCTTTCCTATTTTTGAAAACATTAGGATTCATGCTACTCCCACACCCTAAAAATCTATACTATATTATAAAGCATTTGATAATATCTCTTAAAACCTATTTTTTATACATAAAGTATTATTTATTAATGTATATTACTTAAAATTCAAGATTACAAGTAAATTGTGCATAAGTATAACTTATTAAAACTCTATGTTTGAATTCGTGTAACTAACTGTGGATAAACATAATCAAATATAGAATACACATCTCATTTTAAAATATTAAAAAATATAAAATATAATTAAGATAATTATTGAGTTCTAACATATATCATCATAAAAGAAATATATTATTAAACCTAAATTAAGTTACTTCATTATGTCAAATTAAATTATAATAAAAATTTTGAATTAAAAAAAACAAATAAAAACTTTTAAATAGTTAATTTGATACTAATATTGATATTTTTTGTAAATTTTATATGATATTTTCAAATTTATATTTTATTCAAAAATAGAAACATTATCGTTTTTTCAAAAGCACATAAAATTGTATTATATCGACATGGATAAAAAAATAAAACAAAACATTAAAATGGAAATGTGTCTCGATATATTGCACAAGTACTTTTCTAGTATCAATAAATACATAAACATGTCTTATAAATTTTCATTTTTTTATTCAAAAATTTAAGTCCAAATAAAGGGCAAATTGCATGAAAAAATAACGTACTTTAACTTGATTCCTATTTTGGGTTTCAAAACTTCTATTTTGGTACCTAAGATGTAAAGTTTTAAACCTTTAAGTACCCGGGTAACCACTTGAAGACTAAAATTAGATTAAAAAAAGACTAATTTTATATTTAAAAAAATCCACGTCACTGACCACGTAAGTAAATAATACCGAGTTGGATATCACATCACTCGGCACATCAGCATGATAATCGGTTAATACTTCAATCAGTTACCCGGGTACTTAAATGTTTAAAACTTTATATTTTAAGTACCAAAATGAAAGTTTTGAAAGTACGTTACCCAAAATAGGAATCAAGTTAAAGTACGTTACTTTTTCATGTAATTTGCCTCCAAATAAAATACAATGTTTGATTTTACATATAATCAAACAAAAAATTTATATATTAAATATATATTATGAAACATATTAAAGACAACATTAAAGGCTTGTTTTCCCTCTTTTAACGTAAAAGCATAAATGTGTGTCGGTATTTGTAAGAGATTAATGAAGATCACATTCGCATTTTTCAATACTACAGCTAAGCTCTCATCTTTACCAAAAAATTTATTAAGTTTTGTATGGATAAATTTATATGTCCGAATAAATTTGTCTGTCCGGATAAATGGGTGTTGTTATTTACTTTTTTTTATCTGAACCAACAGTCTGAATAACATAAATGACCGATTTACCTCTCAATATTAATTATTTGAACATCAAAACTAAAAATCATAAAGAGGCCGAAGATGGGGTATCTCATATGGGAAGAAGGCGGTGCTTTAAATAAGGGGTAGGGGTGTTATTTTTGTGGTTGGATGGAGACAACACATCATTTATATCTGTGCGATTAAGTCGTGTTCTGTGTGAACAAACCGTAAGTAAACAACCCAAATAAGTTGTGTGAATAAGCCAGATATACTAATAAACCTAATTAAAGCGCAAGTAAACAACCCAGAATATAAAAGCATACCCAAATAAGCCACAGCAGAAACCTTGCAAGAGTACCATCCAGGTCATTTTCGGCCTCTTCTTCCTGAAAGAACAACCATTTATTTAATAATCATTCCAATTTTGGTGTTTTTTTTAATTTAATTAATTAATTTATGACATTTTCTTTTTTCTTTAATAGGAAAAATAAAACATTCATAACTTTAGAAACATTTTTAATCCCAAAACAAGAAACTCATCAACCACACTTTCTTACAATTTTTGTAAATCGACTGTTTTTTATAGTAATCCTGCAATCTTTTTTGTGTTATTTAGAAAACAGTTGTTTTATAAATAATAGTCTAAATTTATTTATTTTATCAGTAGTAATTATAACATATATTGATGACATTTAATTCTTGTTAAAAGAAGTTTTTGTTACACATATATAGAGAAAGATTCAAATAAAAACGTTAAATATTTAAGAAAACAAGAAAAAGATCGTTAATGTACAAAATCACATGTGATTTTATATTAATTTCAAAAAATGCAATCGGACGACTTTTGTCGTGACCAAGTCGCGGGCAAAGTCGTGTCGAACTATGTATATGATTTTGTACATTAACAACTTTTTTCTTGTTTTCTTAAATAGTTAGCATTTTTATTTGAAGCTGTCCTTATAGGCACATATATGTAGGAGAGGGATAACATTCAAACCAAGCTATTCGTATAAACCGTGAAAACCGTCGATATCATTATTTATTTTAGTGGAAAAAATTCTTAAAGTTGTTTGATATGATAAAATTGTTTTAAATAATTCATTTATTAATGAAAATGTTTCGTATATTTTTTGTTTCTATGTAAAAATTAAATTGTTTCATGCATTACCCATTTTGATGATATTTATTTACTAAAATTAATAGAATGAACATAACAATGTCCATAATTATTTGAAACAATTTCATCATATTAAATAGTTTCATGAAAAAAATTCACTAAAATGAACAATAAAATCGACGGTTTTCACGGTGTATATATATATATATATATATGTGTGTGTGTAAAATATTTCAAAAAATTTATTTTATTAATAAAGAAAAAAATATTAGAAAAAAAAAATCATTCAACCATTTAAACGTAAAGAAAAACCAATTTCAGAAGTTTATGCCAAAATAATCGATTTCTGTAGCCACAAGAACATGCATGAAACTAACAGAACTAAATGCATGTGTCTCACTATTTGTACCACACAACTCATCTTCATACCAAATTAAGAACCGAAATCAAACGAATCCCAAACCTTTCAACAAAAAATGCAAGCGGAACGATGAATGCGGTGGAGAACAGAAACCGATAGGCAACAAGAACCGGAAGATTCATGCCGTCATTCGCCGCCAATTTGTAGAACACGTTAACTCCGGCGAACGTAGTCTGAACCGCCACCATCAGCAGCACTGGCTTCAACCCATAAACGACGTTGCAGATCTTCCCCACCATCGCTATTCTATAAACCCTAAATTTATCAATTACAAGCAAGAAAGTGGAGAAAAGATTTATGATTAATCTTCTGGTTCCTTTCTCTCGCTTGATTGATTAATAAATTCGATTAATTCCCTCCAAGAACTAACATTTTTAATGGAATTTATATATAAATAAAAGAGGAGCTTGGAACGGGTCTATTGGCGTTTGTTCTTGAAACAGTATCAAGGAGAGAACATTGTGTACTGTATTAATAGTGAGTGTGGAGGATTTGTGAGTTTGGATGAATGGCAAAAACCACCCTTGGATATTTACCGGTTGGCAAGAACAGTCCCAAAATGGTATCTAATTTGTGTTAGATATGGTTTGCTTTGACCATCATTAATATGGAAGTATATTAGGGTTGGCTTTGACTATTGTGGTAATAATTTATTGGTCTTTTAGCATTAAATTAAAATACTCCTATTTAGAAAACCAAACAATAAGTTTTTTATTAACCTGGATATCCACCTTGTTATGCGAGCCGACTAATTTCAGGGCGACCACTTGCTTTACAGATAGCTCGGAGTCACCGCATTTGAACCTTTGTAGCCACAAGGAGATTTTTATTCCTCTTTGGATTTAAACCTAGAACCTCCATATACTTTTGACATTTGGAACCAAGCTCAAACCATTCAGGCACCAACTTTGTGGTTCCAAACAATATGTTTGTGACAATGTATAATATAAATGTTAAATTACTTGATCGTCTTTGACTATAATCAAACATGCATGAAAATGCAACATCTTTTGATTTGATTTTAATTTTGGTTAATGTTAATAAGCCTCAATTTTAGTGTTTAAGATATAGTATTTCAAACATTGCAGTATTCGGATATGTAACATATTTAACCGTTAACTGGTTATCATGCTGACATGAAATTAACGTGACATACAACTCAATAATATATATTGATTGGACTAATGACATGGACATTTTTTTTCATAAAATCAATTTTAAAATTCTTTTTGGTTCTTAATAGAAATAATTTGTATTTGCATTTCAAAAGTTCAAAGTAAACATGAACATCAATTCAAGGGTGGTGCCTGATTGGTTTGATCTTGGCTCCAAAGGTGAAAATTACCAGAAGGTCATAGGTTCAAATCCAAGAAAGAATAAAAATCCACTTATGGTCACGGAGGTTCAAATGTGGTGACTCAGGCTATCTGCAAAGCAGGTGGTCACCCTGGGATTAGTCGGCTCGCATAGCGAGTTGGATATTCAGGTTAATAGAAAAAAAAACATCAACTCAGATTGAGATTCAAAACATAAAAGTTCACACATAATTCCATGAAGAAGATGAACATCAACAACATATTCTTAGTGTATATGCTCAAAAGGTAGTCATTGAATGATTATATTTAGACATTGTGTCGTGATATTCAGTAATGAACGACATTGCTCAATTATTATGTTTACGTATTGTTCAACATTATATTTAAATGTTATAATCTTATAACATTGTATTATGAAATGTCCATAGTCAAATATTCATTCGGGTTTTGTTTGAATTTATGGCATATATAGAAATCCACATACGAGTAGAAGATGTGATATTGTGTACAGAACTTGACTCGCTATGATAACATTTCATTATAAGTTATATGAGTGTCATATGCATTTCTCATGTGGTTATTGTACTCAATTGATTTGAGATCTTGACGTTTGCTCTATGTGAGTGGTGTACTTCAATAACTAGTTCTTATTATTATCTAACTGTGTGACAGAATGGTTGTTGTATACATCATATATTACTTAGTAGTAGCATGGATCAAGACATGATTTGTTCATCTAGTATGACATCTCTGTACTCCTCGATTTAATAGTACTGAGAAAATGCATGTATGCTCAGACAACTAGTATGTGATATTGATATCTGCTTCATTAGTATATTTCGAAATCAAGAAACTAAATATTAGACATAAGAAGGATGACATGTGCATGCATTGTGTTCAAGATGGATATCAAGAACAAAGGGATATATAATGTGTATACAATAATTACAAGTTTATTGATCAGCTGAATCACCAAATATTATCATTTGGGTTATAATGATGTACTATTAGATATTGCTCTTCATTTATAATCATAAAAAATATTCATAATTATTATCAATATGATAAAATCTCAATAACTCATACTTATATATATATAGAGAGGGTGGTTCAAATACTAACCCAATATTTTGTGCAAACTTTGCTAACCCACATCAACCAATAATGTTGCATCTTTGGGTTTGGTTAAAATGTAACTTACATATTAATGATAAGGGTATTTAGGTCATTAGTCATTC